AAAAAAAAAAAAAAAAATGAAAATTGAACCTTCCTTTCTCCTCTGTTCCCTTCCCTGGAGACAATAATAGTTTCTTTCTTTATTTTCCAACAGTTTTATTGAGATAATTTACATACCATACAATTAAGTCTTTTACAGTGTACAATTTGATGGCTTTTAGTATATTTGCAAATGGTACATCTATCTCTACAATCAATTTTAGAACATTTTTCACTTTCTCCAAAAGAAATATTTTACCTCTTTTCTTAGTCTTCCATCCCTAGACATTTTCCTTTTTATCTTTTTGAGACAGAGTCTCACTCTATTGCTCTGACTAGAGTGCAGTCGCATCATCATACACCCTGTAGCCTTAAACTCCTAGGCTCAAGCAATCCTTTTACCTCAGCCTTCTGAGTAGCTGGGATTACAGGCATATGCCACCATAATACCTGGATAATTTTTCTATTTTTTGTAGAGAAAGGCTCTTGCTCTTGCTCAGGCTGGTCTCAAACTCCTGACCTCGAGCCTCTCATATCTTAGCCTCCCAGAGTGCTAGGATTATAAGCATGAGCCGCCGCACCCTGCCTGGACATTTCATATATGTGGAAGAATACAATACGTGGCCTTTTAGCATAATGTTTTTGATCCATCCATATTATAGCATGTGTCAGTACTTCGTTTGTTTTTATTGACAAAAAATTAATGTTCCATTGTATGAATATACCATATTTTACTTATCTACTTATCAGTTGATGGCCATTTAGATTGTTTCTGCTTTTTTTTTTTTTTTTTAGACAGAGTCTCACTTTGTCACCTTTGGTAGAGTACCGTGGTGTTGTAGCTCACAGCAACCTCAAACTCCTGGGATTAAGTGATTCTCTTGCTTCAGTCTCCCAAGTATCTGGGACTACAGGTGCTCACCACAATGCCCAGCTATTTTTAGAGCTGAGGCTGGTCTTGAACCTGTGAACTCAGGCAATCCACCCGCCTCAGCCTCCCAAGTGCTGGGATTATAGGTGTAAGCCACCGTGCCCAGCTGTTTCTGTTTTTGACTGTTAGGAATAATACTGCTATGACAATTTGTGTACAAGGTTTTGTGAAAAATTTCTTCCTTTTTTTTTTAATTGAGACAGAATTTCACTCTTCTTCCCCAGACTAGAGTGCCATTATGTTTTTTTAGACAGAGTCTCACTTTGTCACTCTTTAGTAGAGTACCATGGTGTCATAGCCCACAGCAACTTCATTCTCCTGGGCTCAAGAGATCCTCTTCCCTCAGCCTCCCAAGTATCTGGGACTACAGGCACTCACCACAATGCTCGGCTGTTTTTTTTTTTTTTTTTTTGGCACTTTTTGGCCAGGGCCAGGTTTGAACACACCACCTCTGGCATATGGGGCCGGCGCCCTACTCCTTTGAGCCACAGGCGCCGCCCAGCTCGGTTATTTTTTTAGAGACAGGGTTTTCACTCTTACTTAGGCTGGTCTTAAACTCCTGAGCCGAAGCATCTACCTGCATCAGCCTCTCAGAGTGTTAGGATTACAGGCACGAGTTATTGCACATGGCAAATAATTTCTTGAGCACACTGCATCTTATTTAAGAATGTATAGTCAACCCCTCCACAAAAAGATACTGAAACAAATCCAGATATGTTTCTTGAAAGCTGCTACTCATGAGTTTTGCTAATGGCTACCCTTAGGCAGCCCATAAAGGTCAGAGGGAAGCTGTCTTACACTTCCTGATGTTATGCTGGAGCATGGTGTACTCTACAGGCTCCTGTCTTGACAGCTGAAAAGAGGATCTCTTTAGGACTCAGAGTGTCAGCCTTGGGATGCATGTTATAGGAGAGGATTGGTGCTGATTTGTGGGTCTCTATGCACTCTACTTGCCCCTCCTTTGAGGCAACTACCAGTGGGGTATCCTTAGGCCCCCAGGAATGCTCACTTTATTCAGCCTTCCATCAGCCTCCCAGTCCTGCCTGACATCCACCAGCAGAGCTGATCTCTATATTGTTAGTCTGGAGAAGTCCAAGAGCTTTAGGTCTCCAAAGCTGCTACTTTCTCCTGATGTGCTAGAGTGGGGAGGCAAATGGTTCTGGTCTAGGGATGCCTCTCCTCCTTTCACAGAAACAATGAAGTGGAATTCCATTTCTAAAGTGAAAAGGAAGGTCCCAGTCAACTGGAGCAGGACAAAGGTGGAATCTCAAATGACAGCTATCAACATAATAATGGTTATTCTTATTTATCATTAATATTGAGCACTAATATTATGTGTCAAACATTATGTTATTAATAATAGATTGTTTTTATTATTTTCCTTTTTTTTTTTTTTTTTTTTTTTGAGACAGAGTCTCACTCTATTGCCCTGGAGTGCTGTGGCATCATCATAGCTCACAGCAATCGCAATCTCTTGGGCCCAGGTGATCCTCTTGCTTCAGCCTCCTGAGTAGCCAGGACTACAGACACCTGCCACAACACCTGGGTAGTTGTTGTTTTTCTTCTACTTTTAGTAGAGATAGGGTCTTGCTCTTTCTCAGGCTGGTCTTGAACTGCTGAGTTCAAGCAATCCACCCGCCTCAGCCTCTCAGATGTTTTTACTGTTTTCAATACTTATAATGATGGAGCAAATTAGATATTAATATCTTTATTTTATAGATGAAGAAATTAGGGCTTGGAGTGCTTGAATCCAAGGTCCTGCAGTTTTTAAGAAGCAGAATAAAGATTTAAACTCATGTCTGCTTACCTTCAGAGATCATCCTCTTAACCACTGCACTGTTCCATCTCCTATTTATCTGAGTTAATGGGAAAGGAAGGGCTTTGAGGTGACTTTTTAAGGCAGAGCTGCCCAACTTGTGTGATGGTAATCCTTCCAGGAGCAGGTAGGTCTGGTGCAGCTAGTGCCCCATGGGTAGGTTTCTTCTGCTGTGAGTTCCCCAGTGTGACATATAAATATTATTTTCTATGTGACTTGAAAAGAGTTTGCCAGAATGGTTTTAAATGAAAGAAGGGGTCTGGTACAGTGATTTACACCTGTAATCTCAGTGCTTTGGGAGGCCTGAGTGGGAGGATCACTTGAGGCACAGAGTTTGAGACTAGCCTGGACAACATAGCAAACATCTGGACAACATATCTACAAAAAAATTTTTTTTAATCAGCTGGAAATGCCTGTAATCCTAGCTACTTAGGAGGCTGAGGTAGGAGGATGGCTTTACTCCAGGAGTTCAAGATTTCAACGAGCTATGATTGTGCCACTGCACTCTAGCCTGGGCAACACAGGAAGACCTTGTCTGGAAAAAAAAAGAAGAAGAAGGAGAAAGAGAAGAAAGATACTTCTCTGATCTCAAAGTCAATTTTAGTGGTTGCTAGAATGCTGATAAGTGAGGAGGGAGTCTAGAAGAAACAGACTAGGCAGGCACAATGGCTCATGCCTGCAATCCCAGCACTTTGGGGGACCAAGGAGAGAGGATTGTTTGAGGCCAGGAGTTTGAGATCAGCTTGGACAATATAGTAAGACCTCTTCTCTACAAAAAATTTAAGAATTAGCCAAGTATGGTGGTGCACACCTGTAATCCTAGCAATTCAGGAG